CATTGTGTAGCTTTGCGCTTAATTACAACAACAAACAAACCTGCCAAAAATGATCCGTGTCCGTTGAAACGACGGACGTACAGACACATTTTCGTATTTTTTGAGGGCTGAATATAATCAACGTTGCGTGGCGGAGGTATGCTAGTTATTACTGCGTTACTTCCTTAGTATTTGGCCCGGCATGGCCAGGTGGTTAGGGCGCTCGACTCACAATCTGAGGGTCGCGAGTTCGAATCCCCTTTCAGCCGTGGAGGCGTTATAACGTGACGGTCAATCCCACTATTCGTTGGTAAAAGAGTAGCCCAAGAGTTGGCGGTGGATGGTGATGACTAGCTACCTTCCCTCTAGTCTTACACTGCTAAATTAGGGACGGCTAGCGCAGATAGCCCTCGTGTAGCTTTGCGCGGAATTCATAACAAACCAAACCTTAGTATTTTGCACGTGTCTTTGTTAGATCTCATTTTGTCAAACATCCTCATCTTATTTCTCAAAACTCACGGTCAATTAATAAGATTCTAGAGCTGACGGGCTTCTCGTCAGCCAAAGTAATGTTGTGCATTTTTAGATTATGTAAATCTTTGCCCTTCTAAAGTGCCCACTTTCATTGAGAGCATGCTGCACAGAACTCACAGATGTTGGTCTATCACGTGGGGCTTAAAACTGATACAATAAAGTTAATACAGATTCGTTTCAAAAATTAGTTCGAGAAATTCTTCTCACAGGAACCAAGTGAACATCTTTTGTGCTCTGAAAGAGATATCAAACGAATTAATTGCTTGTTTTTAGGTGTTATCCTACCAGCCTCCAAACCCCGTTGAATGATCTAATGCAACGTGTTACCAACCATTACGACTAATTAACGTATCGATTTTACAAACAAGTCCAGAATCTTATTATCTCATTTATTAAAGTCAGACGATTTACACCTTGGATTCACAAATCCCTACTTTGACTATCTTATGTGCCTCTGTATCTATACAAACAGTTCTCCTGCAAAACGTACTGGCTGGACCATGTCACGTGTGACCAAATAGTTTTAGAAAGCCAATTATTTATACATACGTATGTGTGTATACCTTTTTATCAATTTTTTTACTAAAGTTACAATCGATATTCGTAAGTTTTTTGTTGTTTGCTTAGTAAGAGCTCTTTCTTACGTCACATTTTCAAATCGTTAGCTTTACCTTTAGATTCGCTGGACCACTCTTGGCTCTCGTTTCCCTTCTTCTTCTTCTTCTTTCGGCTTTAGATCCTATAGAAAACAAGAGGGAATCTTCAATAGCCGCGGCACTTGAAATTATTTTAGGCAGGATTAGAGTAAATTAATCTATGAGACCTTTTTTGTTTTTCCTCATTTTTATTAACTGTTTTTGTGAGCCAGAAATATCCAGCGTGGGGCGCGCGTATATCCGCTTCGATTCTATTAGTCATCAGGACTTTTACCAGCCTACTCTTAAATTGAAATTATTTTAGGCAGAATTAGAGTAAATTAACCTATGAGACATTTGGTGTGGTCAAATACCTCAAACGAAAGGGTTTGACCTTCTGAGTCCAAAACTGTAAAAGAATCTCAAATCGGTCAAGAGATGACGGAGTTATGAGATAAAAGTTTGTAGTTGATAAAAAACAACTCAGAACCATTCTATGAGCCGATATGCCGCGTCTAATTACTTTGTAACTTAAAACTCCTATTAAGCAAGTGAAAGTACAAATACATATTGGTACGCATGCGTGTGTGTATATACATCGTTTTCAAGTTATAAATCACATGAGTCCATGTGAGTGTGCTTATGCTGATTAAATGAAAACTCAAATAGGAAACGTATACAAGTATACATGAAAGTGACTCATTGCGTTTTAGTATATTCTACAATTATTATTAACAGTACTATAAAGTGACTCATTGCGTTTTAGTAAATTCTACAATTATTATTAACAGTACTATAAAGTGACTCGTGTGTTCGTATATTCTGCAATCAAGACACAGGGTAATGTGTCATGCGGCCAAAACAACCTGCTGCAGGACACACTGTGTGTTCTTAACAGGAGTGATAGTTTAGCGATTTTCTGTAGCTCAGACTGTCGTAATCCAATCTACCACATATTTTCAGTGGATGTGCTCTACTGGATTCTTACTTCACATACCAAGTTTTAAGGCAATCCATTAAGAAATACCTGAGATATAACATCTCCAATTTTGATTGAGTTTCTTCCTATTTATTTTTTCGCACTAAAAGTACGGAAACGTTATTTGATATAAAACATACTTAACTTTTAATTTGGTACACTGATAGATATTTACAACCTAGAATTAGAAGTCTCATTTGATATAAGTATAAGCCACATGTGCAAAGTTATTCAACAAAAACCGCTCAAATTTGACGAAAATGTTTACGCACGCCTATGCAAAAAGTCACGTGAGCTATCGGTCTAACATTTTTATTACAGTTTGTTTGTTTTTGGAATTTCGCGCAAAGCTACACGAGGGCT